AAAAAGAGAAAAACAAAACCCTATGGAGATCAAGGCAAAGGTATAAATAGGGATTTTGTTTTGGTGATCAAGACACTATAGGGAGTGTGATCACATTTAGGGTAGATGGTCGTACTATTAAGAGGGGTTCTTAACTAGACAATTCGGTCATCTAGTGCCACTAGGTGTTAGACTTCATGCATTGCATTTAGGCCTAGTGCACTTCGGAGAGCAAGCGAAAATATTTATGGAAAATGATTTGAGAAATGCTAACTTGACTCTAATATGTTTTGTGAAAACACTTTGAGGGTTAGCATCGCTTGCGGGGAGTAGCTTGAGTTGACGTGGATTGAATCGCGCAAAAGTTTGCAACTCGGTGAGATAGTGGAGGCGCCTAGGTGGCACCACCACCTCCTGTCCGATGGCACCACCACCCCTAGGGCGGTGCCCATCTGGGCTCAGCAGAGAAGGGCCAAGAGCGGCCAGTTTGGGGTGGTCACCGGACACGCCAGTGTACACCGCCTCAGGTGCGGCAGTGCACCACCTAGTCACCGCCACTGGGTGTCCGGTGCCACCGCTGTTTTTCTCCAAAGACGAGCGCATGTGAGGGAGGTCACCGCCATGGTGATGGCGGTGCGCCGCCCTATTTTTCCAGAGAGGGCCGGTTTTGGGGACTTGGCTGGGATGGTCACCGCCACCCCTAGGGCGGTGCCACCGCCATGTCATGTCACGGTGATCAACGGCTAGTTTTCTAGCTGTTGGGAAGTGACCGTTGGGACACTACCACCCCAGGGGCGGTGTGCCACCGCCATGTCCGGTGCCCCCGCGCAGACAGCTCCAAGGGGTACAATGGCTCTATTTGCTTGTGTGGCTATAAATAGAGTGTGTGGCTGGCCTTGGCCACTCTCTTGGCACCTCATACACTTGTGCACACCCTTTGGAAGCTGAGAAACACACTCCACTCACTTGTTCACTTGATTTCATCATCTTGAGTGAGATTGGAGAGCCTCTAGTGCATTGCATTGACTTGCATCATCTTGTTGCACTAATTGGGTGATTTGGGCTGGTTGTGAGCTTGTTACTCTTGGTGTTTGTCGACACCTAGATGGCCTAGAGATTGGAGGATCGTTGAGTGGAGTTGGTGATTGTCTCCGGCCTCGATTGGTTGCTTGTGAGGGTCTTGTGCCTTCCTCGGTGGAGTGGCAAAGGCAACTCTAGTAAATTGCTCATGTCATTGAGCTACCTCACTTATGGATAGGTTCTTGCGGTGTCCAATTGTGTGGATGAGGTTCATGTAACACCTCTTAGCTGCCGAACCACCAAGTGTTGGTCGACACAACGGGGACTAGCATGCTGGCAAGCACGTGAACCTCGGGTGAAAAATCGCTTGTCTCTTGCCATTGGCATTCTCCCGGTGATTGTATTGGCGATCTTATTGTGATTGGTTCATCCCTCTACACGACGGTATAAACGTCCCACTCACTCCTTTACTTACATGCAAAGTAGTTGTAACAAGTTATTTAGTGTAACTAGTTTTGAGAGCTTGTTTATTTGCTAGTTTAGTATCACCTAGTGAAGCTCTTTAGTGTAGACTTGTTGAGAGCTCTTAGTGAGTAGTGACATAGCTTTTGTTTGTGCCTAGTGATCATGGCAACTAGAATTGTTGGATAAGTGGCTTGCAACCCTTGTAGAGCTAGAGCAAAATTGCATTTTGCCATTTAGTGTACTAACCTCTTGCTCTAGTGTTTTTGTAGAAATTTTTATAGGCTATTCACCCCCCTCTAGCAATTTAGGACCTTTCAGGGAGTCATCGGGCATCGAGGCTATGTGGGCGCAACCTCTAGGTGGCCCAACTATCAACCGGTAGATACTACCCAAAAATGGAAAAAGCATGCACTATAGCCCATGAAACGTGGACGAAACCAAAAAAACCAGCAGAGAGCATGATCTGGGGACCAGGGCCAATCGAAAAAGGACCATGGAAGTCATGGGGTGTGTGGGCACGGCCTCTAGGTGGCCCAACAGTCGGCTGGTGGATAGTACATGAAATGGGGAAAAGTGTGTGCTATAGCCCACGAAACATGGATGAAGCCGAAAAACCAGCATAGGGCCATGATCTGGGGACTAGGACCCACTAGAAAATGACCACGAGAGTCGTCGAACATTGGGAGTGTGTGGGTGTGTCCTCCAGGTAGCCCGATTGTTGACCGACGCATAGCACCCAAAATTGGAGGGGGAAAAGCGTGCGCTATAGCCCACGAAACATGGATGAAACCAAAAAAACCAGCAGAGAGCCATGATATTGGAACCAAGACCCACCGGAAAAGGACCGCGGGAGTCATCAGACATCGGGAGTGTGTTGCCGTAGCCTCCGGGTGGCCCGACCGTCGGCCGGCGGATAGCACCCGAAAATGGACTGTGAGGAAGGACCCTGAGCGAGGTCCATGTCATCTGAGATGCACATCTTTCCTTTCTGTAAGGTAGGTTGGGTTTTACGTTAATGTGTGCCAAGTGGCTTGCTGTAGCAAAGATGTCCTATAGAACATCTTTTGAGGAAGACATGTATATGCATTCGACTGCTAGTCATAGTCTATGAGATTGGACGATCTCTACATACTCATGGAAGACCTAGGAGTTTGACTTATATACTCCAACCAGAGGGGATGTTTTAGGCAACCTAGTATCAATAAAGGGCTTAGGTGAAACTTATTTTGCATAAAATTATCAATTCATGGCATAGTCCATTGTTCTGTTGTGAAGTGTGACCTCTATTCTAGGTGGATGTCCAACTTAATAGTCTTCATCGAAACAATGATATATTAAACAACAGAGAATTGAGAGCATTACATATGTGCCCTAGAATTTGGTGGGGATTGTTAGATTTAGTGTGGGCTTGGCCCATATTTTATTTAATTAAATCAAATAAATCCTAGACCCATATTTAATGCTATGGTGTAATATGGTTTTAGTCCCGTGTGGGATTCTGACTATACTCAACTTAAATAGGCAGACTACGTATGCACCTATTGAGAAGTTGAGAGATGCTAAGAGCGTGCTACACGCATGAGACCGCGCTGTCGCCGAGCCGAGGCGTGGCATGCCGTGCCGTGCACGGGCTCGGGTCACGCCACTCCACCACATGATGTGGTGCGGGCTGGGCTTGGTTTTGCCACTTGCACTAACTGATGGAGGTATTATTGGGACTGATTCTGATGATAAGTTTTACGGAGTAATTGAGGATTCTATTTCTATCCGTAACTCCCATAATGCTCTAGTGATTACTCCTCATCCCGACCTTCAAGTCTCTGCCAGTCCGGATTCCCGACCTCCTAACCCATAAGCATTCCTAACCTCCCGACCCTCCGGCTTCTATCCGCTCGGGTATAAGGATGGAGTCCTGGATAGCCTCGTGGGTACAAGATAGAAGACACCGCACCCTCTTCTCTCTGTTGTGTTGCTCTCAAGTTCTCTCTGTTCTGATCTTCTACGTGCATAGAGGATTGGAAGAGCAAGCATCCGAAACCACGCCCGCATCTGATCTACGACACCTGCTCGGGTGTGCCGGGCAATCAGGTTTTTGTGGAGCATCTAACGTGACTGCTCACCGCCGATCTACATCTTCTTCTCCTCGATGTTCCTGAACCTGCGACTTCTCTGCATCGTCTACTTCTTGGTAGACGTTCGAGGGACTGCACTGCGAACATCGACCTACATCGATTGTGGTCCGCGACATGGAGTAACGCATTATGTCGACTAGTGCGCATAGAGCCACCAGTGCCTTGAGCATGGATCACTCCGCTAGGTATAAACCTCTTACTGAATGTATTCAATTCAGCAAAACAATAGCTATGATCAGTATGTTTGTCTTGTATGTTTTTGCTAATGTTGCTAGTAGTAATGATTCACACGTTCACATACTTGTTGTCTCAAATTTGCTATGATTTTTCTGAACTAAATTAAACATAATAATACCTAAATTCCTATCAGGCCCGAGGGTTTCTTTGCTCTTGGAGGTTGGGACAACATCGTTTTTATGTCGACTAGTGCGCATAGTGCCACCGGTGCCTTGAGCATGGGTCACTTTGCTAGGTATAAACCTCTTACTGAATGTATTCAATTCAGCAGAACAATAGCTATGATCAGTATGTTTGTCTTATGTTTTTGCTAATGATGCTAGTAGTAATAATTCACACGTGCACATACTTGTCTCAAATTTGCTATGATTTTTCTGAATTAAATTAAACATAAAAATGTCTAAATTCCTATCAGGTCCAAGGATTTCTTTGCTCTTGGAGGTTGGGACGACATCGTTTTTCAATTAACTAAAGATTTTTATATCTCTTCTTTTCAATTACATTGTCACATCAACAATTTGTTTAGTTAGCCGTCTATTTCATACGCATGGAAAAACGACTATGGTGCCACGTGCGGACTGCCCTAAGACGACAGAAGAAGCAATCAAACATGATATTACTCCATCCGTCCCAAAATACATGACTTTTTTTTACTTTTAGACATCTTGTTTGACTGTTCATCTTATTTCAAATATTTATATAAATATTATTTATTTTATTATGACTTACTTTATCATTAGAGATACTTTAATAATGACTTATTTATTTTATTATTTGCAAAAAAATTAATAAGATAAATGGTCAAACATTATTATATTTAAAAGTCAAAAGCGCCATCTATTTTTGGGAGGGGGGGGAGTATCAAATGGTGAGATACATGGAAACTAGTTTAAGATGACTAGTACTCCCGCTTGATATTTTAGTTTTATCCTAAATCAAACTATCTTAAGTTTGACCAAATAAATATAGAAAGTTGCTAACATTTATGACACTCAATAGGTAACAATGAAAATACTTTGCGTGACGAATCTAACTATATACTTACTTAGTAATAAGAACATTAGTATTCTAGTATATAAGTTTGGTCAAACTTTAAATAATTTTACTTAGGACAAAATTAAAACATCAAAAAAATTTGAGACAGAGGCCATAATAAAGATATACACGTCATGACTTGCACCTGTCACATTCCGCCACTGCATCATCCTGAAATTAAAGAAGTAGGAAAGTGATGAATGAAATGAAATAATATAAAGAGGAACCCGCATGCATGAAATATACTCCTACAAGCTGTTTGCGTGCTGGTTGGGCGGTGACCCACCCACCTCAGCGTTGCGCCCCGAAGGACGGCGTCTGGGCCTCTGCTGCTTGCATCGACACGGCGACGACGACGACGAGTGCGCATGCGGCGCCGCCTGATGCAGTCTAGCGACGCGAAGCATGTGCCGCAACCTGGACTGCGCATGGTTGTAGATGCTGCACGCAATAACGCATGGTTGATCTATCGAGTATGCAAATTGTTGAAGCCGGCCAGCAGGGCGGCGGCGGCGGCGTACGTAGATACGTACCTGAGCCTGTGCCTGTTGCAGGATGCAAAGAACACCAAGATGCCATTGAGTATGCCCCTGATGGCGCGGAAGATCTACACCAATATAATATGCCATTGAGTTGTTAGCGTGCATCGTGCAATGTGCATGCATAATATATAGAGTCGAAGCTAAGCTAGTACTACCTGCGAGAAGAGATCGTTCCAGAGCGTCTTTATCTGCGACATGTCGAAGCCGCTCTGCTGCGCCTCCGACATGTGGTTGAGCTCGAAGATGCTGCTCATGGTCTCCCATATGTCCTTGGAGAAGTTGTAGGTGGCCGACAGCAGCGAGCCCGCGCAGCCCGCCAGCGCCGCCGCTCCTCTCACCGGCAGCAGCGCCACCTGCAGCAGCGGCCACAGGCACCCCGCCACGTTGTCCAGGACCAGGTCGAAGGGCGCCCACAGCACCTCCGCCAGGTCCACCAGCAGCGCCCACGCCGGCGCCAGGCCCTCGCCGAGCAGGCCCCACAGCTGGCCGCAGGATGCCAGCAGGGGCCACGCGGCCTCGGCCAGCGGCGCCGCCACCGTGCGGACCAGCGCGCGCGCCGCCCGCAGCAGCGGCAGGAGGCTCTGCAGGCACTTGCGCAGGTTGCGCAGGAAGAGGATGGTGCCCAGGTACTGGATCCTGGTCATCATGTCCCACGTCTCGATCCACCCGAAGAGTGGCCCGCAGATGCGCGCCGCCGCAGACTTGAGCAGCGGCACGTTCTTGTACAGGTCGTAGAAGCCGATGAGGACGGTGACGAGCGACGCCAGCAGGTAGAGGCTCCGCACCAGCGGCCGCATCCACGGCCGGTACAGCTGGCACAGCAGCGGGTACGACTGGAAGAAGATGACCCAGGACGGCAGGCCCGACTCCAGCAGCGTCAGCAGCCGGATGTCCGACATGATGATCTGCCGCAGCTTCAGCGGCAGCAGGCTGTCCCTGAACCGGAACAGGATCAGCGTGTCGCTGTACTGCGCCGGGGCCACGAACGGGACCTCCGCCGCGGCGGCGGCGCGCGCCCACCTGCTGGTGGCCCTGGCCCTGGCCCTAGCCGTCGTCGGGGTCGGGGACGGGGAGATGCTGATGCCGCTGTCAGATCGAGATCGGGCACTACTAGTACTGCCAGCTGCAGCAGCACCGTCCAAGTCGTCGTCGTCGTCGTCCTCGGAGACGGCCGTGAGGGAGGAGGAGGAGCACGTCCGGCGCAGCGCGCTGCTGCACTCCTCCAGCTGCTCGCTGGGGTCAGAGTGCGTGTGCAGCGCGGAGAGGTAGCCCCGCAGAGCCCGCGCCTCGGAGGCTCGGCCCAGGAACCACAGGTGCATGCAGCCAGCCGCCTGCTCCGCGCTGTAGAACTCCCACTTGTTCATGTAGCGCGCCTCCAGCGCCAGGGACGTGTCGGTCAGCAGCTCGTTGAAGTAGTTGATGCCGTGAACGTCGCGCCACGACACCTCGAACACCAGGAAGCCGTGCAGCGCCCTGCTCAGGTCCGCCGCCAGCGCGAACCACCGCCGCATCGTGTCGGAGCTCTCTCCCGCTGCAGAGGTGGCGGTGGCGGCGGCTGCTGCTGCCTCAGCCGCCGCCTGCTTTTCTTGATTGTGATGAAGCAGCGCCCGCGAATTCGCAAACGGAGACATCCTGTACTGCAATGAAACTACCAGGACGGATGAGCAGCTAGCTAGCTATATATAAACTCGTAACTCCCTGGCTCGCTCGACTCACTTGACTCGCTCGTCGTTGGTTGTTCGAGCTCGGTTTGTTTAAATTTTTAAACAAGCTGAGCTAGTACTTTAGTTCGGTTAATTAACAAGCTAGCTCAATCTAGCTCACAAGCCGCTCACGAGCCAAATGAGCCAAGGTAAATTAGACGATAGCAACTTGAATCAGCCTATATATGCCATGGCCCATTGGCCTAATATAATAAAACCATAACCCTCAACTCCCACGCTCCCACACCTAGGCCCTAGACTTCCCCCATCCGCCGTTCCGCGCAAGCCTAGCCGCAAATGCATGCACGGTCAGCTGTTCCCCTCCTGAGCCGCCACACGCGGCACACGCGTAAGTCATCCGGCGCCTGCTGCGTGCTAGGGCCTTGCAATCGCAGCTTTGCTTACTTACTTGCAAGCCAACGCACATCAACAAGCATTAGCTTTTGTTTTTTTCTTGATTTTCTCAAACCAGCATCAAATCATCCGTCTTTTTATTTACTTTGCTTTTCCTAAATCAGTACTCGTCTTTGTCTTTTGCTGTATGAATAACCTCAACAGAAGAAAAAAAAATTTAAGTTAGCTCGCGAGCCAAACGAACTAGCTGGAGCTGCCAAGCGAACCGAGCCGAGCTAAGCTTCTAGTTCGTTAGTATAACTAACCGAACCGAGCCGGTTTGATAACGAGCCGAGCTATAATGAGCCGACTAGCCCAGTAGCACTCCGGCCGGCCGGTTTGTAGCTATCTCTTATAAATTACATTCCATGCAGGCAGTACCTTACCTTGGTGACCATGAACTGCCACAGCCTCGCGGATCGAGACTGCTTCGTCGTCAGCCAAGGCTGGTTGTCCACGAGGATGAACACCATCTTGCTCAGCGGAGCGAAGTAGAGGAACGCTCGCGAGATGTAGGATTGAATGTCCCTGTATGTAGGCAATAGTAATAATCTAGTAAGTAACAAGCTTTCTGAATATCAAGTGCCTTTTTTTTGTTTTTGTTATTTTTTTCAGACGACAAACTAGATAGAGCCGTTGGATCTTCATCCTACGGCTACTGAGTCATCTTCTTCCAACACGCGAGAAGCTGCAATGCTCGCCCTGCCAACCAACACCGACCTTGCTTGGCGACCTCCCGGCCAGCTGGGTCGCCGGACCATCTTCATGCTTCCTTCGCCCGTCTCCCTCTGCCTGAGCACCCTGCAGCCAAGGACTACCCCTCTAATCTAACTAAGGTTTGCCAACCTCCCTCCTCGGATCCTATGAAATGAACGACAACCCTCTTCCTGAACTCATTGCATCATCGTCTGAGAGGAGAGCCCTCCAAGAGATTTCTTTCACTTGAAATCTAGGATATATGAATTAAATCAACCAAGTCTATTCGATCATATCCCTACTTATTAGGAGCACTCCATTAGTAGTACACTATGCATGCATGTAACACATACTGATGATTGATGGAAATTAAGATAAGATAATATCAGATCGGAAGATGCATGATCGATGCATCATCAGAAATGAAAATTACGTACCCAATCTGCAGGCCGGTCAACGGATAGATATCTGGCAGAGTCTCCATCTATCATCAGTATGCTAGCTAGCAAAAGTAGCTAGCTGTATATCTAGCGTCGTAATGCTACCGCCCGTCCGCCCGATGAATCTTACAGGCGATCTGCAGTGCAGAGGAAGAAAGATCAACGAGGAATATTTATTAATAATAATTACATAGAAGATGCATGTATATCTGCTATTGCAGTGCATGCATTTAGATTCAGGTATTGTTGATTAATCGAATCTTACAGGCGGAAGACGACGATGCGCAAGGATGAAGACGAATGAAGATTAAGGCGCAGGCAGGCCGAAATCAAACCAATGCAAAGGGGGGCCAGCCGCTTGGGGACGGAGAGGGGCAGGGAGACGGCCGGGGGAGGAGTCATCCTAAATTTGGGTCTCTCTCATCCACACCACACTCCACTGAGCGCGAGAGAAGCACGACGGTCCACTCTTAATTAATTTGTTGCCTTCATTATTTTCTCATGTGTATTTCGAATGAACACAAACAATATAAGGCACATGTGCAGGTGTTCGCACTACAAACTGGCCAAACCAGCTGGTTGATTTGATTCTAGCCGGTGTTAATAAGTTTGTCAAACTCTAAAGTGGACTTACATATGTACAACTTCGAATTTGGAGTTGGAATGAGAAAATATAGACTTCTACAAGATTTCACACCCTGCAAAATCGGTTAAGCGTCGCCTCTACGTAGCTGTTTTTTCACGTAGGCCCACAACATTCTCTCTCTCATGTCGATCCCCCCCCTCTCCCTATCTGTTGCCCATGGCATGTATGAGACAAAGCACGTAACAGGTATCCGCTATACACGTGAGTGAGAGGAAAGCTCTCTAATGGTCGAGGTCGAGCCTTACGAGCGGGGCATGGTTTTTCACCCATATGTCTTTACTAGATCCTCCCTTAGTTTTCACCACTGAAAAGTGTCCCTCTTGAACAATTTTGGGCCCGCTTTGGATAATGGCCGGAACATAGGGCATTTGGCAAGTCTAACCTGGGTCATTTAGGTCACCATTCTTTTGTTACTATACCGCACGTGTCTTTCTTTAGGTAGTGATTTTGTATGGGTGTTTTGGCGTTGTATTTGGTGTTAGTTTGTGTTTTTCTTCATAGTGCCTCTGGGGTTGTTGTTTGGACTGCTTTGCTTTTCCTTTCTAGCTGTCATACAAAGATGCATAGCTCTTCGCGTTGTTTAAAAATAAATAAAGCCCCATTTGGATCTTTAGAATTGAAATCCATTTTAATAATCAATCTAGGCACAAATCAATTAAGCTAATATGGTGGTATGCATAATATATATATTTATATACTATTGTTGGACATATGAGAGAGAGACTTATGTGTTGTATTTCTGTTATATGGGACCGAGCCAAAGAGTGTGGTATAAGTTGCAAAGTAGAAACATAATATGATGTTCTATAGAATCAATTTTCATCTCTCACTCTATAAATCTAGTGAGTGCTTGGGACTGCTCCGCTTCAGCTTTGTCTCACCAAACACCTCTAGCTCCTAAAACTCAACTCCATCGAAAGGGTGGAGTTGGGGGGCCAACTCCCCTTTTTTCTGAAGCACCTCAGGGGATACTCTAGGATTTAAGCTTCCATACTTGCTCATGGAGTTAGAGAAAATTACCCACATTGGTCACTCATTTAATGAAAACACTCACCCCACTGTTTACTCATCCAGCGCCTGTAAGCGTTTCCTAGGTAGGCACGCCTCCACCTCATGATGGACTTTGTTGTTTATCAATCAAGCACTCCCTCCATGCTAAAAAAAATGAAGTCGTTTTGGACAGCGACACGGTCTCCAAAGTATAACTTTGATTACTTATTTTTATAAAGATATTTATCAAAAAGTGATATGTGTAAATTTTTGTGAAAATATTTTTCAAGACAAATCTATACATATGGTTTTTACATTTCCAAACTCAACAACTTAAAAGTTATTCATGATTTATATTCCCAATGTTTGACCCAAGCCTTGTCCAAAACGACTTTATTTTTTAGTATGGAGGGAGTATGTTGCAATTATTTAAACAAAATATTTTTTTGGTTTTCTCAAATAAATAAATTATGATTATAATATTTTATATTATATTCCAACCGGCAACAAAAATATTTTATATACGCAGACATTAAAACATACACTAAATATCAGGGGTATATTTGACTTTTTTGAGGGAACCTCACAAAACTGGAGTTGGAGCTAAGTTACATGCTAAATAGGATGTGTTCTAAGAACTCCACCATAGAGCTGCTCTATAGTGGAGTTAGTGGAGCGGAGCTCGAAAAACTGGAGGAGAACAGTCCCAAACAAGCCTCTAAGATAGACTTATATATCTAAACTTTTAAAAAGATGTGGAATTTTAAATTCGAAGCAAAATAGTCTAGTAGTAGTTTCTAAATAAAAAGATCCAAACGACACCAAGAAAACCTTTGAGAGCAGGTCTTCGGACCCAGCCCAACAGCCCATCTACGGCCCAAAAGCCCAAAAGACAGCCCCTCTCTCGCCCTATCCCGACTTCGCCTCCGCCGCTCCCATCCCACTCGCCACCGCGCCCCTCCCACTCGCCCCGTCCGTGTGACCGTGTCCGGCGGCCGGCGGCCGTCCTCCCCTCCTCCTCCGTGGCCGGCCACGACCAGCAGGCACCCTGCGCGGCTGCGCCCAAGCCGCCAGGCGCCAGGTCGCCCAGCTGGCTGCGGGCTGCCACTGGTGCAGCACATCTCGCATCTCGGTGAGCCTACTGTCACAATGAGATCCAGTTCTATTTGCCAAATCCAATTTGAACCCAGACCAAGTGCGTCACTTTCCTTTAAGATTTCTTTGTAAATCATCTGATTGTTTGAGCTTTAAAGGATTAGATATTCACTATGATAGGCTGGTAGACGACTAGATTGAACTGACAATAACAAAAGGTATGTGTTATGTGGCTGGAGGATTGAGAGGGAGAGGCGAGGGGAGCGACGGCGGCTGACGCGCTACAGTACCCGCGGCGCCTGTTCACGGCTAGGGCTGCGAGGGTGAGAGAGAGCCGGCCGCGGGGCGTTTGCCCACGGCCGGGCAAGAGGGAAGGGTTTCCTTCTTAATTCTTGCTTGATTCTAGATTGATACATCTCCTCTCATTATATAGAGAGGTCTGACTTGGCCCCTAAACAAGCGACTAATTAACCCTAATGGGCTCCAATAGGCCCTTGACTCCTCTAACAGTATGTCTCTAACAGTATGTCTCTAACTCATAGCCTTGCCCTATCCGTTTTTGCCGTGATGATTAAAGATTTATAAACTAATGATCAATATTGTGTCTTCGTTGTTGCAACAGGACCATTGATATTTCTTAATGGATATTTAAATTACTTGATCTAGTACTATTGTAGCTTTCAATTACTAATTCTTAAATTTTCAGCACCTATGTCATCTAAAAAACAAGCACCATATAGTGGGAAAAAGGACTGGAAGAAGATTTAATTGATCTACCAGTCTTGACAATGATTATAAGGCTCTGTTTGGATGTAGATATTGAGCTGCTGGAATTGAATTGGGTTGTAATACCAAATCAGAGTAGTATTGGAAATGAGTTGCAAAACCAATACTGTTGTTTGGATGCATATGATATTGCTAGTTGGAATTTTGTAATGTGGCAAATACTGATTCATGTTTGGATGTCATTTGATGGAATTGGCAAATGCACATGGCTTCTCCACCGCACCTGCAACCCAGCCCTCACGCCGCTCCACCTCCCATCGCCGGTAGATCTGAGGAAGGACCACCGCGACGGGAAAACGAAGCTCGATGGGGGAGCAGCGGTGATGGAGGAGAAGGGAGCTCGACGTCGACGCTGAGGAGCTGCCTCGCCACAGGTCACAGTGGATCTGAGGAGGGAGCTCGACGGCGGGGAAGGAGCTGGGGAAGAAGAGGTGGTCGGAGCTGGGGAAGGAGCTGCCGGAACTGGGGAAGAAGAGGTGGCCGGAGCTGGGGAAGGAGACCACAACAGCCAGACCTCCAGAGATGGGGAAGAAGGAGCCCATGCACGGACGAGCTCCGACGGAGAGGGTCGCGATGACTCGCGACGGGGGCGTCGGGGCTCGCATGCAGACTGCTTACGTGATGGAAATCGGCGGAGGTTGGGACAGCGCGAGCGAAGAGGGAGTCGTCGGGGCTTGGCTCGGGGGCGGCCGCGGCGTTGGGGTCGGGGTTGGGAGAGCTGCGAGGGAGGCGTCGGGGCCAAGGAGTGGAGGGCAGCGCTTGGCTCGAGGGCGGCCGGTGGCGTCGGGGTCGGGAGAGCGGCTAGGGAGGCGTCGGGGTCCCCAATTCCACCCAATACAGAGGGGTGAGGCTTCGTATTGGGAGAGGCCAATTTTAGTTATAGTCCAATACCAAGGTATTGGAGTTCCAATTCCAAATATCAATACCATGGACATCCAAACAGCAGAATTCAGGAAACTTAATTCCAATTCCCAATTCCAGGCTCCAATATCTACATCCAAACAGGGTATAAGTTTTTTTTAAAGGTGTTATGTTCAAATTATCTGATACAAATATATCTTTTGAATGTAACATTATGTTAGGATGGTGTTTATATTAAGGACCCTTAAGCTCTAGTTCGCTCTAGGCCCCTGGAACCTCAGGACTGGCACTGGTTATATCCATTAGTGTATGGCTAGTACCATTTCTAGCCTTCTATTATTTAGCCCCCTGGTCTGTTTCTGAATCCGCCACTGGGCACACCCCCATGTTGCTTTGCCCATGTGTCTATGACTACTATGTGACATGATGTGTTGACTATTGAAGGTCCGAGATTTGATTTGTTTATTTATTTTTGTGGCCCTTGATTTTGACACTTTGCCTCTTCTTCACAATGGCCAACATTAAGCTAGCTTGACATATACTGCTTGCTCAGAAGTCAGAAAGTTAGGAGGGACTATGTTTTTGCTCTATTCATCGTCGTCATCTACATTCTTGATTGTATCACAGGAAAGAAACCAGGACAACGGGCAGCATGGATAAGGAGGAGAATAAGGAAGCATCAGTGAGCATCAGCAACAATGACACAGACACCAATGGTTTGGATGATGACGACTATGATGATGATGATGGGAAGCACACAGTGATGCTTGGCCCTCAGATTCCCCTCAAGGACCACCTTGAGCTCGACAAGGTGAAACGATTATGCCCAATCACATTGTATCCATGTGATTATATTACACCTTTAGTACGTAGGTTTGGCCACCATTTATGGAACGACTAATGTTGTTTCCCTACACATTTGCCTTTTGAATTTGATTTATTTGTAGGATGATGACAGCCTAAGGAGGTGGAAAGAGCAGCTCCTCGGAGATGTTGATACCACGAAGCTTGGAGGTAATTTTAGTACCTCATTAATGCTCCTACACGTGTTGAAATTTCAGAAACAAAAGTCATTATATAAAGCAGAAATGGTGTGACCGTAGGGATGAAAATGGTCGGGAAAAGTCTCTAACCACTTCCAATCTTGTATTTTTACATGGAAATGGAAACAGAAACAGGAAAGCCAGTCGGGAAAACAAAACCGATTATGTGGGACGTCGGAAACGAAACAAATTGATTGTGAACGCGTTGATAGCGGTCGGGAACCGATAAATCAAAACGGGAAACACATGATCCTACATCCGTGACTCGAAATGTTTAACTTCATAAGAGTTTATATTGACTGTTTATTTTTAATTAATTTCAGCATATTGGATTAGCCTCATCCTAAATTAAGTAAAAAGCACGAACATTTTGAAAGAGAGAAAAAGAAAAGGAAAAAATTGAAACGTGCTTAGCCATGTGACTGCACTTTGCAACTGCCATGACCCCATCAGGAGTCTTCTGGTGGCTTGCCTGTGCTCTTGTGGCTCAGATTAGCTAGCAACATGCGGCCAATTACAGCCCAACAAGCAGGCAGCACCGCAGCAAGCAGCGCGCACATGGCTGCAGCTGGAGCCTGCAGGAGCCCTCAGTTTAGTCCCACCTCGCGCCCGCGTGGAATAGAGAAGCACACAGACGGCTATATAAACAGACCCAGGGGGAAGCACAAAAGCATTAAAATCAGGGCCTCGTCACTATTGGTTCCAACATCCAAGGCACACAGGCAGCTTCGTAAATAAATTTTAAAAGAAAAAATAAATGCAGTATTCCTGACGGGAATTTCCAGTCCAAATACGGGAACCGTGAATCCAGGCGGAAAAAAAAACCACCCTTTTTTTTGGTACCGTATTCGCTAGATTTTCCTGCTGTTTCCCTGTTTTCGTATTTTACTGAAAATACGGTAAACAGTGTTGGTCAGGACAGGATTTCCATCCTGTTTTCATCCCTACGTGTCAATGGCACCATTTGATATTTTTATTCACTATATTGAGCCACTCAATTTATTTCATTCACTTTTGGGCACGTTGAAGCACAAAAAAGCTGACATTTTTTTTTCTTAATAGACAAGATAACATTGAGTTAGAGATTCAGTGCAGCTAAACATATTAACTGAAAAATGGCCTGGAGAGTGCAATAAGTGAAACAGAGGCTTCATATACTTGTCTGATAGTCCGTTTATGTATGCAGAGACTGCAGAACCAGAGGTGACCATATTAAACTTGACCATCCTAACTCCAGAGCGACCAGATCTGGTTCTAGCTATCCCACTTGTGCTGGATGACAAGGGGTACGCATTCGCACTCAAGGATGGGAGCACCTACAGCTTCCGCTTCTCCTTCACTGTCTCCAACAACATTGTGTCTGGTCTCAGATATACACACACTGTCTGGAAGACAGGAGTAAGAGGTGATTTTATAATCAAACATATTCATATATATATTTTTTTTTGCTGGTTACGTGCTGATGCTGCACTTAATGAGAATAAGGATGTCAGCATGAATTTGATTAGTTTTATGTGATCCTTGTGTTAATCTGCATCTGGTTTACATTCCATAGCTCATTACATAAATGCTTACCGTGAAACTACTAAGAGCCCGTTTGGAGGGGCTTCTCCCGGCTCCGGCTCCGGCACTGTAGCACTACTGTGGCGGAGCCGGGAGAAGCTCCAAATGTGCTGCTCCTCTTCTTTCTAGTTCATTTTTGGAGGAGCCGGAGCCGTTTTTTGTCATGCTACAGTAAAAACATTGTTGCACACTGTCTTAGGAGTAGGAGCCGGAGCACCAAGAGCCGCACCAAACGGGCTCTAACTATTTGGCTCTGAATTTTGCATTATACATGATTGATCTTTCTTTATGTAAACATAATTGCTAGTCCTTTACTTGGAACAAATGTTCCTTGGTACTTATCTTTACCACGAAGTCTTGTATCCCAGCTTTGTGGGTTTGTGTTGTATGGGCTCTTCCCTTTTCTTGTTCTTACTATTAATATAATGATGTGCAGCTCTCTTGTGTGTTTGAGAAAAAATGTGTCCCAGCTGTTCTGTTGCATCAAAGATTTTTTTCTTGAACTTCACAAATGCGGTGTAGGGTTGAGCTCTTGAAGGACTACTAGGTTATTTATGATATGGATTGATTCACATCTTTTTAATATGCTGTCGGTAGCATCATGGTCATGATTCTCATAGAAGAAAGATGCTTGCGTTGGCTGCACTTGAAGTGGCTCGGTGCTCTCCCTAGGCCTAAGATAGCTGATCTCAGGTTGCCTATTGCAGTAGAAAAGCAGAAGGTGATGCTGGGGACCTTCAGTCCTCGGCAGGAGCCTTACACATACGAGGCTGAGGAAGATACGACCCCAAGTGGCATCTTTGCGAGGGGTTCATATTCTGCAAAGCTCAAGGTTAGGAAACGGCTCAAAGAAAATGTTATATGTACTCTACCCTTCCTGGTAAGAGACCTTGGGATTGTGTAGCCCAGTGACGTAATGGATTTGATTTTACAGTTTGTGGATGATGATGGGAATGTCTACCTGGACATGAATTACTGCTTCGAGATCAAGAAGGATTGGCCAGCCACGGCCTAAGATTTGGAGGTTGAAGGATGATATTTTGTTACTTTGTGAGAAACAGCGTTCAGGTGGTAGGTAATAGGCGATGGATGTGCACGATCAAGTGCTGTGTGTTTCATGTATGATTCTCTCTTTGTGTGGTGTGGGCTGGCCCAACGATTCTGGAACTGAAAAACTGTCAAAATGGTGTTCAGAATCTGTTGTGTTCATTGTGGCATGGCTCACAATCCCTGTGCAGGCAACTGAGGGTGTTTGGAATTTGGATCAGTGGCCTCACCCGGGTACTGGTCGGCCTGTTTGGATGGAGCCCTCCCAGGCAGCTCCATCACCAGGCAGATATCTCAATCCCAGGCGTCCAAAATCGGATGCCTGGGGGAGCTCCCATCGCCAGGGCAGCTTTGCCAGGAGAGGAGCTGCCTCGCCCAGGCGTATTCATCAGGTCGCTATAGTGTTTGAAGCTGTGGAGAGCTTATGTATTGTGCCTATCTTTCTGAATTGACTGAATGACCGAGGGTTGCCTGTTCGTTTACACCGATACAGAAAAAAAAAAAAAAACATTAAACTGTTTACTATCATAGTATATGATTAGTTGAACACTAACTATTTATATATTATTTATCTTCTAAGATCAAAATAAATATTTATATGTTTTTGTAAAAAAATATGTTTTATAATAAATAGTAGTTGTAGTAGTAGTAGTAATTGTATTTAAAATTTAAAAATAACGAGAGAAATAAAATAGAAACACGTTTTAGCTTATAATCATCCGACTTGCTAGAGTTCGGACAGATGATGCGGACGGACGCCTATGCCTACGGCTGTTTCCTGCATCGTTTTGCGTGCCCACACAGGCCTATGCTGTCCTTGAACGTCACCAGTATTGAGAAGAGGGGAAGGGACGGTGGATGCTAGCTGGCATCGGGAGGAGGAGGCCAAGGTGAGGCAGCAGAAAGCGAGGATGGAGATACAATACCTAATCTACTTTGAAATATCTAGATACAACATTTGCAACATACGTCTGAAGATAGATGTAACACTTTAAATATTGTCGACAGAATATCGTCGGCAATCCTCCGAGGGATATCCCACGAAGGTAGATTGATCGGTAGGGGTGCGCGTAATCAGGAACCGGATGATGACACAAGGCGCAGAGACAGCGATTTAGACAGGTTCGGGCCGTCTGATCGACGTAATACCCTACGTCCTGTGTCTTTGGTGTATTGTATTGAAATGTAGTAGATAGATCTGGCTTGTCCACTAGGGGACCCCTGCCTCTCCTTATATACTCTGGAGGGGTAGGGTTACAAGGAAAATATCCTATTTGGTACTGTACAATAGCTTGCGGTGCACGCCGAGCAGCGCCGTGCACGCCTTGATCTTGTGGGCTGAGCCACATCTGATGGTGCGGCCCATGTCTCGTCTTGTGGATACCGGGGGCCATACCCCCACAGCTAGTCCCCGAGCCTGACAGTAGGTGACGTAGTCACGTGGTGCCAGGGTTAGAAAGTAGAAGACTAGCCGAGTAGGCAATCAGTCCCCGAGCATAGCCTCAAGATGAGAAAAACGCACATTCACCACAAGGTGAAGTATGCCCACTTAGTCCCCGAGCCTGCTGGAAGATGAAGAATGAATCTTGTAGCAGGGTCAAAGAAAAAGAAGTCTGAAAGCTTTGCCGACGTCATCCGACATGCGCGTATCAAGACTCCAGACGTGCTGCCCAAGATCAGCACCTTGATCCGAACAGCATGGAGCAGCTTGATAGCACACCGACGAGACGTAGCAAGATCCGAGCAGCAAGGGCGGCGTAGGCGGCGATGTCCGAGCACCGAGGAGTTCCCGGCGCAGCTGGCGATGTTCGAGCAGCGAGGAGTCCCCGGCGTAGCTGGCGACGTCCGTGCGGTGAAGTGTGCCCACTTAGTCCTTGTCGGTGTTTCAAACAAACACCGGCGAGTGAATTTATAATTGATACATATTAGGCCCGGATGGTGTGCTAAAGGACATAAGGTTTATACTGGTTCGGGCCGAATGTCCCTACGTCCAAACCGCTGCTGCTGCTTGTATTATTAGCACCAAATATGGTTCGTAGTAGAGGGTACAAACGGTCGAGAGAGGGACGGGTCCCAGGTCTCTGATGGAGGGGTCGAAAGGATGCCAAGGGCCTGGCGGCGACTTGGCTGTGTGTGCGTGGAACAGAAGGCTCTATGAGCTCGTCTGTATGTGAGTTGTCCGTTGAAAGTCATCTGTTCGGTCTCCCTCTTCATAGGGAGCCCTGTCCTCCCTTTTATAGACAAAGGGGGGAGCAGGGGTTACAGGTGAAAAATACCAAGGGTATAGAAGGTCCTTCGAAGGGCTCGGGTCTTCCTTTTCCTTTAAGCCAGCCTCAGACACGACCAGCTGGTGTCAGAGGTTTGGCACGTTCACCGGGTACTTGTGTGCTGATGATGCTGTGTTCTGCAAGTGGTCACGTCCCATCCTGCCTCTGCGGGCGACGTGTCGGGTAGGAGTACCGGCCTGTGATACTATGGGGGGCGAACGGTGCGGCACCCGTACGCTTGTCAGCATCGGGGACGTGAGTCCTATTGCGGTGTTTGTGTCAGGCTCCGTGCTCGAGGGTTGAAGGCGGCGCCCGCAATACTGTAGGCCGTAAAACCCGGCGCCTACAGTACTACTCAGGTTCTGTCATGTCCGGCAGGGCCTAAAGCGCTTGTCCCGTCGTACTTCGATGGTACTTATCAGTAGAGCAGGGCATGGTCCTTGCTTCCGTGGTTTGACCCTAACGTCCTGTCTTACCCTGTTCCTGCCATCATGGAGGGGCATGATGAGGACGTCGGGTGAGGCGGTGCTCAGCCCTTATCGGCCGGACGAGGCGGAGTCTGGCCCTCGGGGGTTGGATGAGGCGGAGTCTAGCCCTCGGGGGTCGGACGAGGTGGAGTCTGGCCCTCTGGGGTCGGACGAGGCGGAGTCTGGCCCTCGGGGGTCGGACGAGACGGAGTCGTTGCGCTCCTGTTCGATTGGGAATGTCGTTGGTACTTATCAACTCTACCTCATTGGGTATCCCAGTATTAGATCCCCGATAGTAGCCCCCGAGCCTCTGGGTGATTCGGGTGGAATCACCCGGGGGTTGTCCCGGCTCGCTAGAGAGTGTTCGGGTTTGCCAGAGGGTGCGCGCGAGCGCACCCGATGGGTATAGCCCCCGGGTGATTCGGGTGGAATCGCTCAGGGGGTGTCCCGGCTCGCTAGAGGGTGTTCGAGTTTGCCAGAGGGTGCGCGCGAGCGCACCCGATGGGTGTAGCCCTCGAGCCCCCGGGTGATTTGGGTGGAATCGCCCGGGGGGTGTTTTCGTACCCTCCGCGGGTAGGACAGTGAGATTCGGCTTTTCTCAGCTGGATAGCTTTTGAGGAAACCCTAGGGTCCTGTTTGCGGGGATGTCGCCCGGGCTTAGCTTGGCCGGGGTTTTGACTTTAAGAAGTTGAAGTCCCATTGGTGCTCGCGTACCGGAGTCCTTGTCTTTCATGGGCCCGTCCCTTGTTTGAGACGTCCATCGAGATGGTTGGGCCGACCCCGGTCTTTCTGGGCCTAGACGGACCAGAGAAGGAAGTCTTTCTGGCCCACGTCTCCTCTGTTTGGAGAAGAGTCCGGTCGCCTGGGAAGATGAACCATTCGGCGCGATTTTGGTGGGAGCGGATAGGGATTGCAGGCGTGTTTCCCGCGACATGATGCGGCGGTGCGCGTGGTAGGCCCGGAGATCGAGGCGGACGGTTGCCCTTCTCACATCCATCGCCACTATAAAACCTCGGGGTTCGCCCTAGGGTTCCGTACTCTGCCCCCTCGTCTTCGCATCTGCAGCCCTCGCCGCCAATCGCCCTAGCTTCCCACGCCAGTACTACTGCCGCCGTTGGGTCCGCGTCCTCGTTCACTGCTGCCGTCGAGCTCGCATTCGCGCCACCGCCCCCATTGAGCTCGCACCCACCTTTCTCCCGGTGTTTCGATGGAGCTGTGGGGCAGATCCGGCATTACTCCTCGGTGTTTGGAGGGCCTTGTCCGCCGTGGCCTCCTCCGTCCGCTGTCCGCCGTTGGGGAGTGGCTGCTGCCCGGCGAGGAGAATGAGCCAGCGCCGCCCGAAGGGTATGTCGTGTCCTTTGTCGTCTTTCATGAGCGGGCATTTGTCGTACCCGCGCATAGATTTCTTCGGGGGTTGCTGGATTATTACCAGGTGGAGTTGCAGCATCTTACCCCCAACGGTGTTCAGCACATGGCGGTGTTTGTTGCCCTGTGTGAGGGTTTCTTGGGGATCGATCCCCACTTCGATTTGTGGTGGCACTTCTTCACCGTCAGCTTGTCGAAGAGGAAGATTGGGGGGAAGGATGTGAACGTGCCGATGGGTTGTGCCAGTATTCATCTGCGCCCCACTCGGTCGAAGGACTACCCGCTAATGCGTCTATCGACCCCAAATAAGGGGTGGCATTTGCAGTGGTTTTACATCAAGGATGACCTGAGCGCCACCTTGCCGAGGTACTCTGGGCGTCTTATCATCGAGGCCCTAGAGCCGTGGCTATGGGGTTGCCCGACGCCAGCGAAGAAACACCTTGCCGACCTTCTTGTCGCCATTCACTCTCTGAAGGTCCGGGGCGTGAAGGGGTTGGGGATTATTGGTGCCTACCATGCGAGGAGGGTGGCGCCGCTGATGGTGCGCGCGCTCCCCCTATACCGGATGGTTCCTGGAGAGTCGTTCGAGGGAACGGTGCTCACTGATGAGGAGCTTGCTCCCTCCGAGGTAGCGCAGCGTACCAAGGAGGCGATGGAGCTTCCGAAGGACACAACCGGCTCCACCCTCGAACATGTGTATTCCGAAGGGTTTTTGGAATTTGTAAGTTTTTTCTTCCCCGTGCTTCCCTTGTTGTTTGAGTTTCCGACCTTTTTGATATCAACTTTTGGGATGGCAGGACCAGCCGAGGAGGCTAATCTTCAAGGACTGCCCAGTCCCGTTGCCAAAGGACCATGTCGTGGCGACGGCG